TCTTTTTTTGTTTTTTTTTTTATTATTATTATTATTTTTTTTGGGGGGGGGGGTAGGTTTTTATGCACAATTAATGTTGTATGTATCAGAGGCCCGAAGTTATTGGACAAATACTCATTTGTTCTGCCCAGAGTAGAAGAACAGGTACATAGCTAAAATTTATTTTGAATTAAGCGAGTCTTCTGGAGTCAGTGTATGAGATTTTCGATTGTTAATTTTGGGGGCACCTGATTAAGAGATTGAAACTGCTTCATGTGTGGTTCCACTGGCCTGCTTGGTTTTCCTTTGTTTCAACTTGTTGGAATGGTTTGACTGTTTTCTTTTTGCTGTTTTGTCTGAAATCCAGCATACTTCATGTATCCTTGGGTACACCCTAGGTTATCTCCTCTCCGTATATCAAGAGAATTGTACTTTATGACCATATCTCATATCAGTAAAATATGCATGATTGCATCTACAAGCATAGTGGAGGCTCTTCGAATCTACAAATTGATTCTCTCCTTGTGTGGCACGCATTTCACTTTCTTGCCTCATTGTTTATTGGTGTGCCTTATCTTATCATGTTTGGACATTTTCCCCATATCCGTACATTGTGGCAAAATAGATCGCATAATTACTAGCATTAGTGCCACCAAGATGTTTTTACAATGATGCAATTGGAGAATCAACAAGAAGTTGAAAAAAGAGTGTGAGAATCACTATGTAATTGTAACTTGAGGACTTTTCTAGCCGGTCCTGATAATATAAGTAAGCCACCAACCATTCCCTTGCTGCTGTGTCTGAGAATTTATGAGGGAGCATTTCTACGAATGTACTCCATGTAATTAGAACTTCTAACTTTCTCTATTTGGTTGCTTTCCTTTTTTTTTTTTCTACTTCAAGTTAATTTCGTATAATTGTGGTCACTTTATTCTTTTTAGTTCAAGATAACATGATTCTTACATTAACTTAGATGTTCTTGGGAAGCCATAGAACCGGTTCTACTGTATAATTGCAGACCAGTCCAATGCTGGCCCTAGTTTGCCAAGATTAAACAGTGAAAAGCTCTAGTTCACTTCTTGTCCAATTTTGGCCAAAAACAGTTATGGTGTAAAATAGTTTTGTGGGGAGGGATGTGTTAAACCTATTCCAAATTATTTGTTCTCGAGGTCATGGGAACAGGAGAAGTAAGAAAATGTTTCAAAAGTTTTCCAACACTCAACGGCTTTCCATGTTCCAAATGTCATTGGCAATCTCCTCCGTGGATACTTATCATGTTCAAACACATTTTGGAACTTGCAGATCTGAGAAATAAGATTTGCTAAGGGAAATTTTCTGTTGTTTTATGAGAAAGAGAATAGAGTTGTTTTTTAATGGATCGCATAAAAATGGTTGTTGAAGTAGTGAAGGGACAATGGAATGCATGGCAGTTGGTGAATGGTAAGAACTGAGATGCAGTGTGTTTGAACAGTAGAATTGTGACATATATGTATGGTTACATAAACTACTTGTGCACCAAAATCATTTTAAAGTATAGTATGTTTTCACATGATCTAGTTAGGTAGGATGAGGCTTGAACCAAACTGAACCGATTACAAAGATACTCCCACTCACTTTTAGTTTGATTACAGAAACTCATCAATTGAGAAACATGGTAGTCTGGATTATTTCTCCACTGTGTGGTGCTATTTTTGTGTTAGTTGTTGCTACAATTAGGGAACTAGGAGGATTGCGTGTTTTATGTTTTCATTACACTTTATGTAAAAGAAGCCTTGGTTTTTTTTCCAATGAGCAACACCACATGTTGGGGGGTACACAAGTGGTGTTGAGATTGACTTCATTTCATTCTTTGTTTCAGAGCCCTCTTGAGCGGCCATGGGGACAATGTTGGGTTCACGTTACTCTAAGTCAACTGTTATGCACTGCATTTTTCAATTTTGTCAATCTTCAACTCATGGTGTGTGGTACCATGTTATCTTTATTGTTTAACCCATCTTTCTTGTTGACTTTTTTCTCATTGATAACAATGAAAAACCAATCCACTGGAGACCACCAAAAAGTATAAACATAATGACTAAAAGAGTGAGTTTATTTGGGTTGCTTGAGTTTTGTTAAACAACACAATGGCCTCTGACATTTGGAAAATGACAAGGCAGCCCCAAATCCAATGTTGCATTTAAATGATCAGTGTTAGCGGTTAAGTGGATTATTTCCCCATTGAACACAAACAAATGCACTTATTTGACACACATGAACATGCTCTCTCTCTCTCTCTCCCCATCAAGGTCACCCACCAGAACCATCATCAGTTCGCTACTGCGACCCTATAACTCTCTGTGTCTCTTCTTTCCTCTATCTCTTTTTCAATCCAGTAACCTCACATATTTTTCTCTCTCGAATTTGAAACAAATTCAAGGCAACCAGTTATTCTTTGAGCTAGAGGTTATGATCAATTGAGTTGAGTTCTAATTAATGAAATTTATTGAATTATTTGCTGACATATTTGAATTTGGTTTAGGATCGGTGGGGATTTTGTGGGCAGTTGGGGTGGTGGTGGGGGGTTTTTGGTGTGATGATGGATTTCAATGGAGGTGGAAATAATGGTTTCCGTGGTGGATTTGGCGTGTTTCAGGTATTGTAGTGGTAGGTCGGTATGGAGGTGGAGGTGGTGGAGTACTGCAAAATTTTGATGGTTTTTGTTGTGGGCCAGGGCAATTTGGGCCGGTTTAGGTATTTGTGGCTGTGGGTAAAGAAAGAGGGGTGGTGAGTCAGCAACTTTGGTGGGTTTACTGTTGGCCAGTATTGACTCGGTGGACTGTAGTGGTGGGTTCACCATTTTCTAGTATTGAGGTGGGTGGATGTGGTTGGTGGTGGTTGTTTATGTTCTTTTGTAGGTGTGCATGTGAAGAAATGTATGTTGACGCCTGACGGTGGTGAGTTGGCTGGTGATGGTTGGGTCTAGCAGTCTAGGTGATGGGGGATGTGTTAATGGCATTTTGATGGATATATTGCATAACTAGTTTCAAATTGTGCAAGTAATTACAGTAAATAGTAGGTTAACACGTTAAATACTAAAATTATTATCAATGGATGGCAATTACTGCCTAATTGTATTGTTATTTCCGTAGTTGGATATATTATCATATAATTGAGTGCTTAAACTGTAATCAGCAACATAAATTATATAACTAATATCAAGTGCAATTAGTAATTAAATTAGAATATATATCTTGATTAATTTTTTCATACAATGGACTGGTGATTTTGTTATTTTAAGTGTAAGTTTGCTTACGCTAGCTGTTAACATAACAGTTACAAACTTCTTTTAGAGAAAAGGGGTTCATCTTTGCATGTTACAACTTTTCCAAAGTAAAGGGTCGTATGATTTTTCGAATGTTAAGAGTCGCCGTGTTATTTTAACCAAACCGTGGCTGCCCGTGTGTAGTTTGTAGGGTTCTTCACTAAAAGTTTTTTGTTTTATCCATTTCTTCTACTGTGTATGGTTCTGAAGTCTGAGCATTGAATATTAGTTTCTGGGAACTCAAACATATGGTAGAGAAATCTTTAGATGGTCATTCTGGCTGCTGAGCCAGGCTCAGGAACTGAGATTATGGGCTTGAATAATTCTACCTAGACTATCTCGAACCTGTCAAGAGCTTGCATTGCAAGACTGGGGTTTCAATGTGGGAGGTCTTTAGTGGTGTGGTGATGTCATGTTATGATTTTCGTTATCCTCCGAATATAATGTTAGTTGCTTAATTATATTTATTCTGTTGCAGAAATGCTGATGATGGAGTAACTGCCTTTGCGTTACAGAAGCTATGCTTCTTAAGGAGCCTCTTATTGCAAATGTTTGGCGACATCGTTATCTTTGAGGAACTTCCGGATTTTCTTTTGCAGCCCCTACATTTGTGGCAATTTTTTCCTCAATCACATTCCTTATTCTTTGATCACCTGGCTAAATCTTTCAACTTTCCTTTTGCTCTAATAGTTCTCTCATGAGAGATTTGTTGAGTTGGCACACCTTTGCTAACTACTTCCAAATTGATCTCGCATTCTCAGATGTTGGGATTGTAGAGCCCTAAAGTCAAACCAATATGTTGTTATTACATTTTGTTTTCTTATATGTTTCATCTGGTACTCTACCTGCATTATCTGTGTATCTGGGCATATCTAACAAATTTGAATTCAGACTTTTCTTAGCATGTTCCAAACTAATGCACTTTGCTTTAGTATTGCATTTATGTGACTTGGCGATGTTGATTCCATTTAAAATTAAGCTGTATGTAAATATGAGCATTTATGTTAACTTCATGGTGTCAATTCCATTTTGAGACTAGGTTGTCTGTAAAAGAGACAAAGCTCATTGTTAGTTCATTGCCTGAGGTTGGATTACGATCATAGTTCAATACTTGGTGTCCAGGTTGGTTCTCATCGGATTCTGAAAGGATCAGCTCTTAGTTTCACCAGCTGCATATGTTGGTCCCATTATTTAACTTCGTGCTGTTCGCTGCAGGACAGCACAATTTATTACTGGATACATGGGTTCTCATCCAATACATGGGTTCGGCCTTTGTACGCTGTTGGGGAAATTTTGCTACCTTTTGAATTTGTTCTTTCTTTTCTTCATTCTGTTTTGATTTTGCTTTTTTATATTTGATGCTTTCCTGCCATACCCATGTTTTTAATTACAAGGATCAAGCATTTTTTCCAATGTAGTTCACCATGTGAGTTAGACTTTTGATTTCCTTTGCAACTCGATGCATGACAATTTTATTGGTGATTATGCCTGTCAGGTTAATTTTGGGGTATTTATTTTCTTGCAGACAACATAAAGACAAGAAGGAAGAAGTGGCAGGGCCAGAGGCTGATCCTGAACGGGATCAGCGGACAGTTTTTGCTTATCAGGTAATTTGGATACATTAAGGAGTTGCTTTTGTGTTTTTTCTTTCAGTTTATTACTGGGGCTTCAGTTACCATATGCTGCTGCCCGCAAATCTGGCAGATATCTTTGAAGGCAGATGAAAGAGATGTGTATGAGTTCTTCTCGAGGGCTGGAAAGGTTAATCCTTGTTCTTCTGATTGTCCTGAATCCTGATATACTTTTTATATATTATCACGTCGATTATCAGCATTATTTCTGTTTGTCTTCTTGGGTAAATCAATATATGGCAAATAAATAAGTAAAATTCAAAGTTGTCAAAGATAACTTGGTGTCTAAGGTGAANCTGAGATTATGGGCTTGAATAATTCTACCTAGACTATCTCGAACCTGTCAAGAGCTTGCATTGCAAGACTGGGGTTTCAATGTGGGAGGTCTTTAGTGGTGTGGTGATGTCATGTTATGATTTTCGTTATCCTCCGAATATAATGTTAGTTGCTTAATTATATTTATTCTGTTGCAGAAATGCTGATGATGGAGTAACTGCCTTTGCGTTACAGAAGCTATGCTTCTTAAGGAGCCTCTTATTGCAAATGTTTGGCGACATCGTTATCTTTGAGGAACTTCCGGATTTTCTTTTGCAGCCCCTACATTTGTGGCAATTTTTTCCTCAATCACATTCCTTATTCTTTGATCACCTGGCTAAATCTTTCAACTTTCCTTTTGCTCTAATAGTTCTCTCATGAGAGATTTGTTGAGTTGGCACACCTTTGCTAACTACTTCCAAATTGATCTCGCATTCTCAGATGTTGGGATTGTAGAGCCCTAAAGTCAAACCAATATGTTGTTATTACATTTTGTTTTCTTATATGTTTCATCTGGTACTCTACCTGCATTATCTGTGTATCTGGGCATATCTAACAAATTTGAATTCAGACTTTTCTTAGCATGTTCCAAACTAATGCACTTTGCTTTAGTATTGCATTTATGTGACTTGGCGATGTTGATTCCATTTAAAATTAAGCTGTATGTAAATATGAGCATTTATGTTAACTTCATGGTGTCAATTCCATTTTGAGACTAGGTTGTCTGTAAAAGAGACAAAGCTCATTGTTAGTTCATTGCCTGAGGTTGGATTACGATCATAGTTCAATACTTGGTGTCCAGGTTGGTTCTCATCGGATTCTGAAAGGATCAGCTCTTAGTTTCACCAGCTGCATATGTTGGTCCCATTATTTAACTTCGTGCTGTTCGCTGCAGGACAGCACAATTTATTACTGGATACATGGGTTCTCATCCAATACATGGGTTCGGCCTTTGTACGCTGTTGGGGAAATTTTGCTACCTTTTGAATTTGTTCTTTCTTTTCTTCATTCTGTTTTGATTTTGCTTTTTTATATTTGATGCTTTCCTGCCATACCCATGTTTTTAATTACAAGGATCAAGCATTTTTTCCAATGTAGTTCACCATGTGAGTTAGACTTTTGATTTCCTTTGCAACTCGATGCATGACAATTTTATTGGTGATTATGCCTGTCAGGTTAATTTTGGGGTATTTATTTTCTTGCAGACAACATAAAGACAAGAAGGAAGAAGTGGCAGGGCCAGAGGCTGATCCTGAACGGGATCAGCGGACAGTTTTTGCTTATCAGGTAATTTGGATACATTAAGGAGTTGCTTTTGTGTTTTTTCTTTCAGTTTATTACTGGGGCTTCAGTTACCATATGCTGCTGCCCGCAAATCTGGCAGATATCTTTGAAGGCAGATGAAAGAGATGTGTATGAGTTCTTCTCGAGGGCTGGAAAGGTTAATCCTTGTTCTTCTGATTGTCCTGAATCCTGATATACTTTTTATATATTATCACGTCGATTATCAGCATTATTTCTGTTTGTCTTCTTGGGTAAATCAATATATGGCAAATAAATAAGTAAAATTCAAAGTTGTCAAAGATAACTTGGTGTCTAAGGTGAAGTCCATGGGAAAGTTATAGCTGATGCTGCCTGCCCTTGGCTATCTTTTTTTTTTTCCATGTTTTCCCCTCAGTGCTGCAGAAGGGTTTATTTGACTTCTTTCTTTCCTGGCTTTTAGATGGCTGTTTCAATATGAGTATGCTGCAATTCTACCTAAAGACTCCATTTCGAAGTCAGAAAGTGAGATGGAAATTAAAAGAAAAGATTGGGAATTTCTTATTCTTGTGTTGGTTCTGTTAAGAAACCATAAGGAAATTAAATTGTCCAAGGAAAAGAGAGAAAATTATACGGACTTGAAGAAACCTTTTAAGAAACCATGGAAAACCTTGTAAGAAAAGGAAACCAATTTTTTGTACCTTATTCCTTTGTAGCTTTCTTTTTTCCTTTTTTTGAAAGGTTCTTTTCTTGTCCTTCTTTTCCCTCTATGTTCCTTTTTTTGTTAAGTGCTAGATTCAGTAGAAGTATTACAGGAATAGGTCAAAACTAAACCATATTAGTTAGGGTTATCTTGTACTCAAAATATGAACGTTTTAGATGAGAAATTAAAATGGGATTATTTGGGATGCAGACTTTTTTAAATTCAGCTGATATATAGTAATTATGTGCTCTAGAGTTTTGCATTGTAGGTTGGCAATATCAACTTGTACCTCTTCTTTCTTTTTTATGAATGGATAGATTAAAATCGTTTCCTCCTGGTCCCACCTCGTCTGGTTAACGCCTTTCTGAAGATCTAATTTACAGCGAATCTCTGTGCCTTTTAAATCTACTCTTCAGTTTTGATTACATCGTCAAACAAATCGCTACATTTTGATCAATCTATTGATTAAGTGCTCTAGAGTTCTTTGAGATTTTTGCATTATTTAAACTCTAAAGCAAAAAACCGGCTTCCATGCTAATACGCATGCATTTGCTGCTCTCATTGTGCGTTAACAATGATGACAGCTGAACTTTGACGGGTAACTGTTATTTTATGAGTTATTGTTGTTATTATGCTTCATCTTTATTGTGCTCTTTTTTTTTCGTGGTAAGTGCTTAATCTTTAGTGTTCATAATACCCTTTGATCGTAATTTCAGGTCCGAGATGTACGCCTTATAATGGACCGCAATTCACGACGATCCAAAGGAGTTGGGTAAATATCATCTTTCCTGGCACGTAGTTGAAATCTATTTACATGGATGAGTTTTTATTTCACAATGTAGATCATGAGAATTTTATAGTTTGTAATAGGGTTTTGTCCTCTTGAAATTAACTTCATGATATTTATGCTTTGCATTCTTCAGAAAGAAAAAGGAAAAACAACAGTAAAGGACACTGTCTAGGAATGTAGACCTCTGGTAGAAGATTAGTTGGAAAATTTGCAACGCAGAATATCCTGTTCTGTAGTGGGACCATTTGTCATCTTTCTCAATTGTCATAGCCTAGACACAAAGGCAAAAAATGAGAAAAAGGAGTGGAAGTATTTTTATTATTTGTACAAATGCTCGGGAAAGACTATCACTACATTAAGAGTGTTTTCCAATCGAATTGAATATGAAATTTTCCATGCATTGAGTAGTGTCAAACAGAGGAATTGATGAATAATTAAATAAATATACAAGGGCAGGAAGATTTGACGGGTTGTTTAATAGAGAAGGATTTTTAATAGAGATATTATGCTTTAAAATAAAATTTGTAATGTTTTTTTTTATTTCCCCCCAGACTTATTTGGCTCTTTGCCCGCAATTATTTAGGTTGTATCCCGAGATTGAAGTGATTGAGTTTTGTTGTACATTCAAGCACTAAGGTGCATTTCGTCTTATTCACCGTCAAAATATATGCAACTATACACGAATATATGTATGTAAACTCTAATTTGTTTGATTACTATTGGTGGACGCATGTGTAGAATATATATGTTTGGTGGATGGTTTGAAATGAATAGTATAATAAATCTTTGGTAACAAAAAAAGAAGATAAGTAATTTTAGAGAAGGCATCCAATAATTGTCATATAAAGGGGGAGGGGACATAGAGTAGGGAAAAATTTAATGATTTTGGAACTTTTAGTAATTGTTACTTTTATCTATCAATTATGTATTTATGAATGGCGTTAGATAAAACAATTTATCCAAAATTGTTCAGAAGATGAGATATTGGCTACGAAGCACGGATACGAATACGAGATACGAATATGATACGATCTGAATATAGCGATACGACAAAACGTTAAAAAATAGGATATGGGTACAGCCGGGATACATCTATAAATATATATTTTTTTATATTTTTACTATTATGTAATGACTTAATATTTATAATTTTTAATGATTCTTTAACAATAGTAAACGACATTAATAATTTTTTATTTTTAAAAAGTTATCTATCGTCTCACTATGGTAAATCTACAAAGTAAACATGACTAATTAAATGAATAATAACCAATATTTAACTATATTGTTTGCTTAGAAGTATTTGTCGCTAAGAGTATAGAGTAATCAACTCGTTTAAACTATTTGGACATGTGATAATCTACAATACTTGGAGGACACCTATGTGTCTTCGAAATTATATGAATTTTTGTTGATGTATTGCATTGTATGTGAAATCAAAAGAAAATGGTAAAGATTAAAACTAAAAATTATATATACATATTTGCATATAGAAGTATTCGCGAAGTATCCATATATTTTATTTATTATTAGATACGTTTGGTGTGTATCCGATACGTCTTCTCGAGTATTCGACGAGGATCGTATCTCATACGGTATCCGATATGGATACGGTGACCTTAACGAAGTATTCAGGCTTCATAGGATACTAGGCTCTGAGCTGAATGGTGTCCAGTCTAGTTTATTGATATATGGTTGTTAAAGGATAAAATATGCTTTCAGTAGACATATTGCATATATCTATACAATATGTAGGTTGTACCTAATATTCGCTGATAGTATGTTGTCTTTGGGAGTATTTCAAATGGACTGGATTGTAGCATTGGTTTGTAGTTTTGATTATAAATATGTGCACTGTGGTCTGTGGGGTTATGGATAGACAAATTATAGACCAGAAGGAGAAATAGTTTTGATTGTCAAGTTTCAAATTGCTTACAGAGTGGGGTGAAGCTAGAGTTCTAGACAATGGCAAGGTTGGGGCCATAGTAGTCACAAAATAAGAATAATCTACTTTGAGGGGACACGGACAATGGTATCTACCTCTTTATGATGCATTTAATTGGGCTAAATGTATTGGTATAGTGGTAGGTCAGAAAAGGCATGAACCCAAGTGGGGGAGAGAAGAATATTACAAAAGGAGCTGTGTTGGCTTCGAAAATTGTATCAATAATGGATTGTATTAGGGATAGGATCCAAAAAGGTTTATCATTGTCTACATCTCTAGAATAAGTGTAGATGATGATTAGCGTGAGGGACATATTGTTCTGTATTTCTCACCTTGTAAATAGGGTTGAATTCGTTGTATAAAATTACTATTAGTAATACGTTGATGTTGCCTTTTGGGCATATGGTCTATGGATGTAGACACACTATGCCGAACCACTTTTTTCTTGTTGTTCTTGTTTTCCCTTCTCTTTGATATCTCAAATCCCGTTTGTAGTATAAAGTTCTTCATGGTATCAGAGTAGTCGACCCTCCTTTGTTTTATTTTTCTAAGGAGTTCCACTTTGCTGGCAATTGGATGTTCCTACCAACTGTTGGATCTTTGCCTCATTTTGATTTGCTTAGATCTAAAATCAATGCTTCTGTTATTTAATGTCACAACCATGCTACGGCATCATCTATGTCTTCTACTTCCAAATCAAATTTATGCAGTTGTCTCTTGCTGAGAGAATACTCAAACCAAAACCATTTATCTATGGCTAGTTGGGGTGAAAGGTTGTGTCTTCAGATTTGAAATTGAACAACATTGAAATACATTGGTTGACAACACCATCTACTCTAAGTGATCAATCAAAGTTGGTGACAGGCCACTGTTAGTCTATCCCATGCAGTTTTATCACATCTCCTATCAGTCCAGCCCATGCAAAATTCAAGGCCACCGTTTGTGTTGACATGCATGCATTCCTGGTCCTTACAAGGCTGCTATGGTCATACCTATTTATCAAAGTAGTGGGTATCGAGAATCATCTAATAAAGGAGACTCCATTGTTGGACTCTTATGAGAAGACTCTTGAGAAACAGTGGACTCTTATTAAAGGAGGAGTTTTGTTTGGAAACAAAAAAAAAGGAGAGAAAAGAGACGAATGAAAGGAAAGAGAGCGGGAGAGAAGTAAAAAAATCAAAAAGAATTAAGAAAGAAAGAAAAACGCAAAAAAAGGTGATTTTTTCTTTGCTTGATGGTAATTTCGTGCACATTCACTCTCGATTTGTTATTAAGAGGGAGTTTAATCACCATAACTACATCATTGATAACTTCATCAAGCTGAATTTTTGGCCATAATCCTTGCATCTACACTGCTGTAATCTCGGTAAAGTTTGCTCAAATATGGAATTGCTTCCAATGGTATCTAAGAGCAGTGAAGTTGCAATATTGACAATCACTCTATTTTCAGTTCCAGGTGGACACTTCAACTCATTCAGTGTACGAACTTGAGGGGAGTATTAGGGATAAGATCCAAAGAGATCTATTCCTATCTACATAGTTAGAATAATTGTAGATGATGATAAGTGTGAGTGAAATATTTATGATTATCTTATGTATTTATCATCTTATAAATAGGGTTGAATTCGTTGTATAAAATTACCATCACTAATACATCGATGTATCCCTTTTGAGGCATTTGGTTTGTGGATGTAGGCACACTGTGCTGAACCACATACTTCTTGTCGTTCTTGTTTTCCCTCCTCTTTACTCTCTCAAATCCCTTTTGTATCTTCATGATAAAATGTAAATAAAGATAAGAAATTGTAGACAGAAATTACGTGGTTTAGCCAAGAACACCTACAACTATGGACTAAAGCCTAATTGGCTACATTTTCTCTTTAATTCTTGGCACTTAGAATAAAAGGTTATACCCTATAGATAGGATGAAGATACAATCAAATTGAGATAAACAAGAATCTAAAAGATAAATAATATTAAAATCTGTTTGGTTGGATTAACCAAACAATATCACTGATCTTATCTTTAACACTTTTCCTCAGGTTGGACATGAAAATGTCAAAGTGTCCAACTTGAATTTGAAGACGAAATGGTCTCTCAAAATGATTTTGATAAATCTGAAAACTCCGTTCAAATTGTCAAACTGCTAACAGCCACTTGAATTGAAATCGGTGAAACTGATAACAGTCACCCGAAATCACCCGAGAGCAGCTTGAATGAAATAGATAACAATTGTTTCTTAAATGGCTGAAGCTGATAACAACCTTGAAATTGTTTTGTACATGGAATGATCCATCATGCAAACAAATTAAATATAAGCACACAATGAACATCATGCAAATGCGAAACGGAAGTGTTATCAAATAAGGTGTGATCGACCCACTCCGATACCATGAAAGAATCTAAAGGTAAAAAATATTATGAAAATTTGTTTGGTTGGTTCCTATGAAGCACATATATTTCAATCGGGGTAATATACCCATATCCGATACATATAAGATATTCACGGATACATATCGAATATTTTTTGCACCTATTAGATAATTAATAAAATATTTATTGTTATTGCCTTATTGAATACTTGTCGAATATTTGGATACACATATCTACCCAGTGGACATGTTTACCTTATATTTAGTGAGGTGGGTTGAATATGAATCATTCAAATGGAAATTCCTTGTTCCAAAATGTTCATTTGAACATGGATCACATGTCCCAGGATTTGTTAATTCTTTACGATTTGTTTGGCCTGAATAATTGAGTTTTTATGGCTTACGTCAAAGCGAAATCTATTGCAATTAAATGCTAAGTAAAAATTGAGTACTCTCGAAGGGTGACATATGTTAGCGATAGGATTGCATGGAATATTGGATTCAAAACCTCACTAAACAGTCCCTACGTCAGCAACATAAATTGTTTTAGCTTAGGATGTGTTTTATCTCTTAAATCNTTTAATCACCATAACTACATCATTGATAACTTCATCAAGCTGAATTTTTGGCCATAATCCTTGCATCTACACTGCTGTAATCTCGGTAAAGTTTGCTCAAATATGGAATTGCTTCCAATGGTATCTAAGAGCAGTGAAGTTGCAATATTGACAATCACTCTATTTTCAGTTCCAGGTGGACACTTCAACTCATTCAGTGTACGAACTTGAGGGGAGTATTAGGGATAAGATCCAAAGAGATCTATTCCTATCTACATAGTTAGAATAATTGTAGATGATGATAAGTGTGAGTGAAATATTTATGATTATCTTATGTATTTATCATCTTATAAATAGGGTTGAATTCGTTGTATAAAATTACCATCACTAATACATCGATGTATCCCTTTTGAGGCATTTGGTTTGTGGATGTAGGCACACTGTGCTGAACCACATACTTCTTGTCGTTCTTGTTTTCCCTCCTCTTTACTCTCTCAAATCCCTTTTGTATCTTCATGATAAAATGTAAATAAAGATAAGAAATTGTAGACAGAAATTACGTGGTTTAGCCAAGAACACCTACAACTATGGACTAAAGCCTAATTGGCTACATTTTCTCTTTAATTCTTGGCACTTAGAATAAAAGGTTATACCCTATAAATAGGATGAAGATACAATCAAATTGAGATAAACAAGAATCTAAAAGATAAATAATATTAAAATCTGTTTGGTTGGATTAACCAAACAATATCACTGATCTTATCTTTAACACTTTTCCTCAGGTTGGACATGAAAATGTCAAAGTGTCCAACTTGAATTTGAAGACGAAATGGTCTCTCAAAATGATTTTGATAAATCTGAAAACTCCGTTCAAATTGTCAAACTGCTAACAGCCACTTGAATTGAAATCGGTGAAACTGATAACAGTCACCCGAAATCACCCGAGAGCAGCTTGAATGAAATAGATAACAATTGTTTCTTAAATGGCTGAAGCTGATAACAACCTTGAAATTGTTTTGTACATGGAATGATCCATCATGCAAACAAATTAAATATAAGCACACAATGAACATCATGCAAATGCGAAACGGAAGTGTTATCAAATAAGGTGTGATCGACCCACTCCGATACCATGAAAGAATCTAAAGGTAAAAAATATTATGAAAATTTGTTTGGTTGGTTCCTATGAAGCACATATATTTCAATCGGGGTAATATACCCATATCCGATACATATAAGATATTCACGGATACATATCGAATATTTTTTGCACCTATTAGATAATTAATAAAATATTTATTGTTATTGCCTTATTGAATACTTGTCGAATATTTGGATACACATATCTACCCAGTGGACATGTTTACCTTATATTTAGTGAGGTGGGTTGAATATGAATCATTCAAATGGAAATTCCTTGTTCCAAAATGTTCATTTGAACATGGATCACATGTCCCAGGATTTGTTAATTCTTTACGATTTGTTTGGCCTGAATAATTGAGTTTTTATGGCTTACGTCAAAGCGAAATCTATTGCAATTAAATGCTAAGTAAAAATTGAGTACTCTCGAAGGGTGACATATGTTAGCGATAGGATTGCATGGAATATTGGATTCAAAACCTCACTAAACAGTCCCTACGTCAGCAACATAAATTGTTTTAGCTTAGGATGTGTTTTATCTCTTAAATCTCTCATATCCCTAATATTGTAATATATATATATATATATATATATATATATATAGACGTAACTTCATAGTATTCGTATCCTACTTTTTAAGATTTTGCCGTATCATCGTGTCATATCCATATCCGTATTTGTGCTTTCTATGTTGGTTCCATCATACCACATGATCTTATATTCAACTGATTGTTTATGCCAGTGTGGTAATTTGTTGGAGATTTCAAATTGGTTAAGGGCATATATCTACAAATAGTGTCACAAAATTTGGAAAGGACTTATCTACTTTATGGTCTAGACATTTCAGTTGATTATTTTACTGGTCTAGACTGGAGTATGTCTGATCAACACCTTAACTTCATGATATATATGTTCTGTAGGAGTATTCTATTTACTGCAGGTTGTATATGGTTCCATTTAGTGGGTTTGAAATCTGAACCTTCAATATTTCTTTTCAGTTATTCCCATCATTATTTACCCTCCCACCTCCCACCCAAATAAGGGAAAAAAGTTTTTTTTTTAAAAAAAATTATAGTGGGAGTATGAGTGTACAGTATAGTTTTGCTAAATTCATTATTATGTTCGGATTCTATTTCATTTTCTTAACTCATTGTCAGGATGCTAATATAGATCTCTTGACAGGTATATTGAATTTTATGATGCAATGTCAGTCCCTATGGCAATAGCAATCTCTGGTCAACTTCTTCTTGGTCAGCCGGTAATGGTTAAACCATCAGAGGCTGAAAAGAATCTTGTTCAATCCACTACATCTGCTGCTGGAGGAACAGGGGGGCTTACAGGTCCGTATTCTGGGGGAGCCAGAAGGCTGTATGTTGGCAATCTGCATTTCAATATCAAAGAAGACCAACTTCGTCAGGTTGCAACCACCCCATTCTGAAATTTGAGTTAACCAGATGTATGCTTTTACAATATTTTTATTTTATCTTATTTTATGTGATACAATCCTATTTTAAAATGATATGTTTTTTCAATCATCTCAGGGGTTCTCGCTGACATTTTAATTTGGTGATGATTGTGCACTATTGACCAAATTTTGTCATATGATGTTCCTATTTTTACATTCCTTGGAGTTCTAGAGCAAATTCCTTGGAGCTCTCTTTTCTTTGGCAAAAGAGCTTATTCTTTTTGGTTTTCTAATTTCCAGGTTTTTGAAGCATTTGGTACTGTGGAGCTTGTGCAGTTGCCTACTGATCTTATTACTGGGCATTCCAAAGGTTATGGTTTTATTCAGGTAAGAGTGGTTGAAAAAACATGGCCCTTGCTGGAGGGACCTGAAGATGCTGTTGTTGCGTTATTAGTGAGTTGATCTAGGCGAAAAGCAGATATTGTCAGGGTAGTTATGTTAGGAGTGAATCTAAAGTTGGGCCTGGCAATTGTTGGACCATTGTAAAAGAAACAATTGTGTTGACAACAAATGACCCTTTTGCTCTGTGCTATTCCAGCATAGGTTTTTAGCTAATAGCTTATGTGGCTTTGTCACAGTTTGCACGTCTTGAGGATGCGAGAGCCGCACAGAGTTTAAATGGAAATCTGGAGATAGCAGGCCAACTTATCAAGGTAATTCCACTCAATTCTTCATACGTCAAGAATATTAGATCCCATGCATCATTAAGTGCCTTATGGCTTATTGGGAAGGAAAAAGATTAAACCTTTCAGGGCCATTGATTTGCTGTCAAAATTATGTTGAAAGCAAAAATTAGGGTAAGAGATAAAAGCTTTTGGAGCTATTGATTTTCTGCTGTGAAGTGATGTGGAATTGGAAAACCAGGTTGTTAGTTAGCTAAAACAAATCATAGAGACATGTAATTGTAAGAAATGCTATATTTAGATGACATGTTACTGATTGAAAGACTTGGTAATTTTTGCCTTGTATTTAACATCTCAATTGAGAGAATGTTGGATAGTGATTGATCACGAGAAGTTATATTTTTTTATGCTGACATGAAATTGAGATGGTACTAGTTTCAGTATGCTGGCTATCACTAGGTTACTAGAAGTCTAGATCCAGGGTGTTAGCTAATGTGGATGTACTGAATAGGAGTTGCACCCAAGTGGATGGAATTAATCTCACGATGTTGTTCAGAAAGAACTTGCTGCTTCTAGAGAAGTATCAATGACATAAGCAATCAAGTGTCGTGAATGGGTCTTCTACTAAGAAACATAACTTAGGGTAATAATTGCTCAGATTTCTGTTTTTTGTTCTGTGTCTTTCTGTGTACTCCTATATGATTGTTTGTCATGAGTCTTAGTAGTCAGATATTGATATATGGTCTGAAATGCATTTCATTCTTATGACATATCTGGCATGTTGTTCTTTTTCATTCTAGGTTGCATTCTTCTTCTGTCATTTCTGCATCCGTGTCGTGGTTTAAATGGGTACACCAATAATAAAGTTGATTGTACTGGAAATCAAATATTCATTGTAAATCCTAATTCTCACTTTTTATGCAGGTATCAGTTGTTACCGATCAATCTGGAATGCAAGATGTTGGTGCAAATACTGGTGACTTTGATGATGATGAGGGTGGTGGCTTGGTTAGTAATGCTTTTGGGCTTTTATAAGAAAGAAAGATGGTAGATGGAGGTGTTATCAAACTTATTCTGTTCTGTGTTGTTCTGTTAGAATTGTTATCATTTAGTTGAGCATGCACATTATTTTGCCCGACTTCGTGTGGAAGCTAAATAAATGTATAGGGGCTTCTTTTCCTCGTAACTTGGAAAAGAAAATCAAAGCACGCAGAACTTACAAGAATTGACAAAATCCTGTCTCAGTAAAAAAGATCAAATTTTCGGTGTTAAAATATGATATCACATTAAGTGGTCGGACTTGTTAAATCCTTACTCCTTACACTCAGCTACTGCTCTTGGAATGTGATCCAGGGATTCAACAAATAACCAACCAGTAAACAGTAATATCTGTGGAGAAGACACTTGTGAGAGAGAGAAAACACCAGCAAGTGAGGCAATTTTAATTACTACAGTGACCTTATGGCTTCTGGCAGTCCAGGATGTGATGAGGTACTACTGGATGAGTAAAAAGGTTATTTGGGTAAAAACAAAAGTGGAAAGTGGGATTTTTTTTTGGGTAAGTGGAAAAGAAGGATATGGTGGCAGGTTTGGGTATACATGCACGGTTCTTGGAAAGCTGAGGAGAGGGGGGCCATGGCCCCCTTTGGTCTCAACGTGGTTCCGTCTCTGGGGGCTGATTGTCAGCAATTGCAGAACACATTTTTGTCACAAGTATTTTTATGTGCAGATGCATAACCACAGCTACTTATTAAAAATCAATATCAAATACTCTCCATGTTTCAAGCTGCTCAGTCAAACATTTCACTTGTGTTTTGCTCGTATTTAACCATTTCACCCTTGTTTAGCACATGTTTAACCAGATATTAAGTTGCCTTCTTTGCTTTCAAAATCTGTAGCTTTGTCTGCTGTGAGGCAGATGAAGCTGTTTCAGGACACCATTCAACTTTAAAAGCCGTTGATAAGTATCCTCATGGACAGTGAAAAGGGTTAGCCCTAAGGCTTGTGGCATAATGAAGTCCTTTGTGAGGATTGAATTGTTAATGATCTGCAGTTGCATAATTGCATTTGACAAGGGTTTTCTCTTTCATTATTCATGCATGCTGAAATGTTATGCTAAACTATTGTTCTTAGCTGCTCTTGTGACGTTCATGAGTTTAAATATTGAAGTTTAAAACAGTTTAAAGTGTAACTAAGTTTTGTGGTCAAAGAACTGTGTTTATTTAATTTTGTGTGTGCCATCATAGTTGATGTTTGAATCGAGGCACCTAAAATGATTAACATTTAGGTCTCTGCATTGTTCAGTCTCAGATATCTTGTTCTTGTTCTTTAGAAATTTATTCGTCTTTTCATATTCTTATTCTGGCATGTTTTATGTTTACTTGTCTGGTTGCAGTATATATATTTATTCTGTTGCATCTTAGGGTGTTCACATGCTCAACTTGTTACTGTGAGGCTTCACTGACCACCTTTAATATGGTTTTCAGTCTCTGAATGCACACTCTCGAACACTTCTGATGCACAAGTTGGACCGTAGTGGAGCTGCTACGAGGTTTGACTCTGCCAGGTTTCTAATTTCCATCCAATAGGGATCCTTTATCATATATTTTTTGTCTTCTACAGCATTTCTGGTTCATTGGGCACTCCTGTTGCTAACAGTCCTGGCCTTCCCCTGCCCACAGCACCAATTATTGGTGCCACACCTGCAGTGCCTCCTCTTGTGCAAGCTCCTGTTCCTATGGTTGCAGGATTGCCCGGTACAGGTCTTGCAATGCCTCCTGTAACTGTTCCTTCTGTCGCTATCATTGGGGTCCCAAGCGAATGTTTATTGTTGAAGAACATGTTTGATCCAAAATTAGAGGTTGGTGCTACAAATCTTGCTTTAAGGAGCTAGTTTTTCTTGCTTCTGCTGCTTGTTATTTTTAATCTATACAATTCTCTGCAGATGGAACCAGATTTTGACATGGATATTAAAGATGATGTTAAGGATGAATGTTCTAAGTTTGGGACACTAAAGCATATTTATGTGGAAAAGTGAGTTTCTTTTGCTGTTTACACTATTTTATTTTTTTATCAATGTTTTTTTTCTGGGTTCTCAAACTGCCTGCGGTTATTTGTGCAATTTTAGAACTGTTCTATTATTTTTGGCATGTAGTTGGATATGAAGCCCTTCCTACTTCAGCTGGGCAGAATTTTTTTTTTGCTTATCTCTGGAAATATGCCGAGTTATTTGCTTGTATCATTTGTTATTACATTTGTTATAATTGTGATGCTTCCATGTCCTGTCCTTGTATCTGAAAAGCATGCACCATGTATGAAGGTGTTCTTTGGGTTTACTAATCTTAGAACTTAATGGGTCTGTTATAGTGTTGAATGTTTTAGTCTTTTTAATTGAAGTTGGTATCAGTTGATGTGGAATTTATAGGTGCATCAACAATGAATTGAATTTTAGTGAATATGACAATGATCTTTTTCTACACTTTTGCATGAAGTTTGCATAGTTTGCAGAAAAAGAAAGTCTTGACACAATCCTTTGAGTTGTTCTAGCATCAGTAACAAAAGATGAGATCCTATAATCAATTGTCAGAACATGATAGCATATGTTCAGTTATTGGGGCTGCTTTCAATTTTTTTCCCTTCCGGTGGACATCTTGCTATCTTCAGGTCAGATATTTTAAGGTGTTTTAAGAAACTTATAATCCTACGAATCAGTATGTGTCAACTAATAGGAGGATTGATATCATGTGTCATACTACGTTGTGGCATCATTTGATACTTTGAGACCACACTCCCTGGAGGACTAGTTGCTGTTGTTAGTTGATGTCGGATGATGGTTTTAGAGTTTTGAGATTCTTACAACCTAACTTCAAAAAGCTGAAAATTGTGCGAGTCTTGAGTATCAACTCAAAATGACCCTATGTAAGAGCTTCATAAATATGTATATCTTAGCTTACGGAAATTAGATTACATATCAGTCGGTTTTCATGCTTATCAATCTGTCAGTGCCGCAACGATACTGAAATCACTTGGTAAACTGAATTTTAAAACCCACAGCTGCTTAAATGTTCAAGATCCCAAGTCAGCCCCAGGTGGGACTGACTCAGTTTGCATCTTTGAGGGTAAATAATGCATGTAGCATAAAACATTTTTATTTGAGATGATTTTGTGGTCAAGTTTATGACTGATATTTCCATTCCCCTTTGGAAGGAGCATGCTTTATCTAAAATAAATATTGGGTGATAATTGATTTTTCCAATATCTTGAATCAGGGTCCATGCTTTATTAAGAAGAACAACCAACTGGAGATTTATATTTTATTCACCATTCAGAATCTTGATTTGGCAACTTTTATAACGCTCTGAGCGCCCCCCCCCCCTCCAAAAAAAAAAAATACGGTTTGCAATTTATGCATTTATGTCAGTGCATCTTTCTCTTGTAAGCAGTTGAAAGATACAGCATGGCGCCCAGAAGTGGTACTGGACATCAATATACTGTACTAGAGATGCTATGCTATTTCTTTGTATCTTTTAATGTTTGGACTGTATACATTAACATGGCTATTGCACATGGGTGTGTGTGTACATCCTGCACCACTGTTCTTGATACTCAACCTTGATGTACATTTTCAAGGTTGGATTATGTATGCATTTTTTTTTCTTTTTGAGTCCATGATTTTTCCCAAAACATTTCACTCTTAGAAATGATATGCGTTCAGCTGACCACTTTCTTTGACAAACAGGAATAGTGCTGGATTTGTATACTTGCGATTTGAAAATACGCAATCTTCCATAAATGCACAACGTGCCCTCCATGGGAGATGGTTTGCTGGCAAGATGATCACTGCAACCTTCATGGTAATTTCATTTTTTCGTCCTTTGTTGTTTCTCCCCACCAACACCCCCCCCTCCAC